GAGTAGTAGTAAAGGTTTCTCTCCTCTAGGGAGTGACAGCCTGAGAGGTAAAGCAACAACGTACTTCTTCACAAACTTTCCGGAAAAAGACACAGAACAAAGTTTATGGAGAGAATTCAAAAAGTATGGGGTTCTAGTAGATATGTATGTGGCCAGGAAGAGGAATGGACAGGGAAAGCGGTTCGGGTTTGCGAGATTCATCAAGGTCAAGGATTGGAGGCGGACCGAAAAGAACCTTAATAAGATGTGGTTAGGCTCCTTCAAGATTAGGGCCAATCTCGCTCTATTCAGTAGGAAGATTGGAGCTAAGGCGGATGCAAAAGAGATTGTCGGGCCATCTGACGGGTGCTCGACCTCCCAGGTACGTCTCAATATGGGGAATAAATCGTTTGCGGAGATATTAAGCGGGGTTGGTCGCAGTATTGAGAACCCTAAGAAAGAGTTGGTAGCTGACGATGAAGACGCGGATGGGAAGACATTGGAGTTGTTTCTGTCATCAATTAATATGGCCAGACTGGAATCCACTCTAATTGGGGAACTGAAAAGTTTTGAATCTCTCAGGATGATCGGGTCTCTGTATAAGGTGGAAGGGTGGGATAGAATTCGCTTTAGTTATCTGGGGGGATTATCTGTGCTGTTAGAGTTTGCCTCTTTTGAAAGAGCCTGAGAATTTTGTGACAATGTTATAGATACCTGGCAAGACTGGTTTGTGAGCATGAGAAGGTGGAATACGAAGTTTCGCTCGGTAAATCGTATTACTAGACTGGAAATTCAAGGTTTGCCAATTCAGGTTTGGAACTCAGATTCCCTCTGTAAAGTTGGAGGTCTATGGGGAAAAGTAGTAAATTATGAGCTGCTCGGTGATCTAGGTTTTCGTAGAACTCACGGTTTTGTGGATGTTCTAACGGAGTCGCTGGACTGGATAAGGGACACGGTGAAGGTGATCATCGGAAGGTCCCATTATAAGATCAGAGTTATTGAAAAATCATGGGATGGACTAGAACTAGGTGAAATTATGGAAGCAGGATCGGAGGCCAGCTTTCTCAGCGGTAGCGAGGATCGCGATTCGGAAATAGGAGGTAGCTTTGGGTCGTCGTCTGTATCCTCAAAAGCGCAGATATGGAATTCGCCGGTGGAGGTTGCCCCGAATTCATCTTCAACGGTCAGGCGGGAAAATGAAAGGACTACAATTCGCACGCATGGCAAGGAAGAATTAATTCAGGATCAGTTGTTGAGGAAGGAAGTCGGCGACTCTATGGGTGGGTTCCTGGCTAGTCATGATGTGGTCTATAACATGGATATAGGTGCGGTGCACAAGGAATCACTAGACGATGCTGGTGGCTCGAATTCTGAGGCTGATAACACTTTGTTGGGCCTTAGGAATCAGCCCATCTCCTCTGGGCCTAGAATGGAAATGAATTCAGGTGATGGGCTCTCCCCCCCCCATGTTTTCTTCACCCCCCCCCCCCCCACGGTGATGGGCTCAAGCCTGTCTTGCAGAACCCTTTAATCCAACAGGTTACCACCCCTGTCTTTGTCTCACCTGCGTGCGCCATTGAGGAAGGAAGTGAAGTGAATGGAGTTGGCTCGGATCAATTAAGTAAAGAACAGATTGAGGAATGGATCCTTCATTCTAAAATCGATGCGGTGGAAAAGAGGAAAAAGCGTAAAAAGAAAATGAAAAAGGTTAAAATCCCTTGCAACTGTTATCGGAGAAAACGTGGTCTCTCCTGCAAGCACGATGCAGTAACTGGAGGGACGGTAGGCGAAAGTTTTATGTGTGACAGAAATCTGCAAGACTCATCAGACTCCGAATTAATGATTAGAAATTCTAATCGTCGTATTAGAGCCGCTGCCTCTATGCCGGGTATCTCTGAATCTCTTCCTTCTTCGGTTGACAGCCGCTTGCTTGATATTAATAATCTGGTTAGTGTAGGAAAGAAAATCGGTATCGATATGAATAATAATTTGCATATCTTGGAAAGTATAATTGGCAATGGGGAGGGAGTGGATTTATGTTAAAAATCTTGTCTTGGAATCTGAATGGGCTGGGAAAGGAGTCGAAAAGGAACTGGGTAAAGAACGCGGGGAGAGATCACAAGATTAGTTTTCTATGCCTTCAAGAACCGAAAATGGTTGTTCAACATGAGTGGCAGGTCGCTTCGGTTTAGGGTGGGAAGCATTTCAACTTCGCTTCTATTAACCCGGTTGGTAAATCGGCTGGATTGATCACGATCTGGAATGATTCCTTGTTCCAATCCCTGGATGTGGAGAAGAAAGATGGGTTTATGGTGGTCGTGGGAACGTGGCTTAGCTCAAAGGTCAACCTTGGGGTGATCAATGTGTATGCACCGCAAGCCATTAGAAGCAAAAAGCTTATCTGGGCGGAGTTGTTGGGAACGTAATCTGCAGGGACTTCAACGAAGTGCGTTCGGCCGATGAGCGGAAAGGATCTATTTTTGATCCTATTGGAGCAAGGTACTTTAATGACTTTATTGCTTCTGTAGGTCTTCTTGATATTCATCTCGGTGGGCGCAGGTATACTTGAATGAACCGTAAATGCTCTGAGCTAAGCAAGCTGGACCGTTTTCTGGTAAGTGCGGAGTTTGTAAACATGTGGCCTATGGTAAATTCTTTGGCTCTCCCTAGAATTTTTTCGGATCATTGCCCTATAATTATGGACTCAAGGAGTAACGAAGGAGGACCTATCCCGTTCAAATTTTTTAATTCGTGGCTCAAGGACCAAGGGCTGGGTATAGTGGTCGATAATTGCTGGAACAAACCTCGCTCGGAATTCGAGGTGTTTTCGAAGGTTAAGCGTTTGTCCAAAAAACTTCGGCATTTCAAGATGTGTATTAAAGAGTGGAGGAAAGGTGCTTCCAGGGACGTTAAAGCGGAATGCGAGAACCTCAAACAGAAAATTTCAGCGATCGATCTTCTCGCCAAAACGGGCATGATCGATTCGAATATAGTGAATGAAAGAGCAAATCTCATGATTCGGTTGAATGAAATCGTTGCCAACCAAGCAAGTGATCTTAAACAAAAGGCCAAATCTCGGTGGATTGCGATTGGAGACGAGAATACAAGCTTCTTTTATGGCCTGCTAAATAGTAGGCGGAAAAACTCTCGGATTCACGGCGTGAATATCAATGGTATTTGGACTTCTTGCCCGGAAAAAATAAAGGATGCTGCCCATGATTTTTTCAAAGAAAAATTTGCGGAACGATTCCCGACTAGGCCTACAATCGGCAGTCCGCTCTTCAAAAAAATTTCGGTCTCTCAAAGGGAGTGGCTTGAAGCTCCATTCACGGTGGACGAGATTAAAAGTGCGGTTTGGTCTTGCGGTAACAATAAGGCTCCGGGTCCGGATGGGCTTACCTTTGAGTTCATTCGTAAATTTTGGGACAAGATGGGTAAGGATTTTACGGAGGCTGTAAGGTTCTTTGAAGGAAACCATATTATAAATACGGGTAGCAATTCCTCCTTTATATCCATCGTGCCGAAATCAAAGGATCCTCTTTCCTTTGCGGATTATCGGCCAATTAACTTAATTGGGTGCGTGAGCAAAGTAATCTCGAAAGTCCTTGCGGAAAGGCAGAAAGGTGTGATCAGTTCGGTGGTGAGCAACACGCAAACGGCTTTCATCAAGGGTCGTAGCATTCTGGACGGTCCGGTAATTGTAAACGAGATAATAGCTTGGGCCAAGCGGATTAGGAAAAAACTGCTAATCTTCAAAGTGGATTTCGCTAAAGCTTTTGACTTTCTTAATTGGAACTACCTTGATGATGTGCTCTTGCAAATGGGGTTTGGCGAAAAATGGAGAGCGTGGATGAGAGGATGTATGTGTACGCCTAAAGTTTCGATTCTTATTAATGGCTCCCCATCGAAGGAATTTAAGATGTGCATAGGTGTTCGGCAAGGAGATCCTCTCGCTCCTTTTCTTTTCATTCTTGCGGCGGAGGGGCTTAACGTCATCTTGAAAGAAACGCAGCGGAAAGAGCTTTTCAAAGGGGTTCAACTGGCGGATCACACTGAAGAGGTGTCAATCCTGCAATATGCGGATGATGCCATTTTTATTGGGGATTGGCCGGCTGATAATGCAAAAAATCTGATAAGTATCCTTAAATGCTTTGAAGTTTGTTCGGGCCTCAAAATTAACAAGAGTAAAAAGCCGCATCACGGGTGTCTCGGTTAGTAAGGATGAGATCACCAGAATGGCCCGTTGGCTCAAGTGCAAGGAGAAATCGATCCCTTTCCTATACTTGGGTCTGCCCGTTGGAGGTAACATGTCGTCTTCGGTAAGTTGGCAACCCATCATCGAGAAATTCAAGTCTTGGCTCTCGGTATGGAAAGCGAGGCACCTTTCTTTTGGAGGAAGGTTATATCTATGTAAATCGGTGTTCGGCAGCTTGGGCACCTACTATTTATCGATGTACAAGGCACCAAAGAAGGTGATTAGCGCTCTCGAAAGCATAAGATGCCGTTTTTTTTGGGGTGGAACGGACGATGTAAAAAAAAATTGTTGGGTGGCGTGGGATCGGATTATGAGCGACAAGAAGAGTGGTGGGTTGGGAATTGGTAGCTTACGAGCGTTAAATCTCCCAATGATTGCCAAATGGTGGTGGAGAGGGCGTACGGAGCCATCCGCGATCTGGAACTCGATTGTGCGATACTGCAACTCGACTCAAAACATGGCCGGTAGAGGCAGAAGAGCTGTCTGGAGCAATATTAAAAGTATTGAAAATGACCTTGGCGATATCGGAGTCAACATCAATAGGCTCCTAATAGAAGCACCGAATAGGAATGGGTGGTCATGGTTGTTGGAATCGAACAACATCTTCTCAGTTAGATCTCTCAGGAGATTTATTGACTGTGTCTTGCTCCCGGCTGATGATCAGGAAACGTAGTGGCTCAAGTGGGTTCCCAGTAAAGTTAATATCCACTTATGGCGTACGCTTAACAATCGGTTAGCTACAAAGGACAACCTCTTGAAGCGTGGCATGGTGCTCAACTCGGACGAGTGTCAGACGTGTTTGGTGACGGCGGAGAACTTGGACCACGTCTTTGTTACTTGCTCCACTGCAAAGGTAATTAATGCGCTTTTGGTCTCGTGGGTAGAGTGGTGGCCGGCAAACGCTTCCTCAGCACGTCAAATGTGGTCGACAATTTCAATGATAGGGGATACCTGCAGAAGAGAGGTTAGCAAGGTGATTACGGCAGCTTTCTTTTGGTCCATTTGGAATCAAAGGAACCGCAAGACGTTCAACGGAAAGAGCAAATCTGATAAGGAAGTTTGTAGTGAGATTCAATTCACGGCTTATGATTGGATTAGATGTAGAGCAAAAGGTATCAAGTCTTTTAGCTGGGAGAGATGGATCTGTAATCCGGTTGACAGGGCCGGCCCTGAGATTTTGGATGCCCACGGCGGAAAGTAAAAATAATGCCCCTTATACGTGTAAATAAAAACCAAAATAAACTATTTGAAGGGTTTTTGAACCTAGTCAATCTAACAAAAAAGTGCCCCCTTAAATATAACAAAAATGATGCAACGGGGGGGACATAAACCAAAACCCCGTGTAACAAAAGATAAAATGCATCACGGGGGGACATAAACCAAAACCCCGTGTAACAAAAGATAAAGT